GAAATAAACGATTAGCCACATTGAAAATTAATTTTATTTTAACGATTAACGAATATTAAAATGAAATTAAATAATAAGTTAGTTGATTGGTTTAATGGTATTGCACACATCAAAGAGATTAAGCATTTGCATTTAGCTTCGAAGCACGGAGGCGGGCTGCGGGTGGCGGGCGGTGGGCTGCGAGGCGGTTGCGAATAGCTTTGATGTGGGAACTGTATGCAAAAATTTAATAAGCCGTTTTGTCATACTTGAGCGTTATATTAATAGTCATACGTGTTTGTTAATGACATAAATGCGATGCTTAAGTAGACTATTCATTCATGTTACGCGCTAGTTAGAGTTGGTGAGATTGACTTAGTGAAAAATAAAAACGGTCAAAAATCGATCTAAGTTATAAGTTACTGCAAATTTCTAGCAACGTGACACTTGCACTAAGTCGTATTGAGAGATTTCATTACGACAACTCATTGTTTTTTTTGGAAAAATGTAAACAACTAATAAAGAGATTATTTGGCTATTTGAAATAAACAATTCTTCATCAGATTAGCGCAAGTAAAATAGAATATTGTATAAATGTGTTTCACTTTCCTGTTTAATGTGAGTAATAAAATTCTTTTACGTTGAGATATAAAAGTGTATTTAACGCCATAAAAGTAACATTACACATTAAAACGGATCGTCTCGTTCTCGCCGAATTATCCCTCGCTATTAAATACATACGTCACATCACATTGCTTTGAATATTTCTACGTTCTAAATAGTTAACAAACAAGGTTAAGAGAGCGTCGGTGACTCAGAGGTTAAGCATTTGGCTTGTAATTTGCAGGTCCAGGGCTCGAATCCCGCCATGTACCAATATGTTTTTCGATTTCCGATCTACATATGTACATTTATCCGACGTTCTTACGGTGAAGGAAAACATCGTGATGCAACCTGCAATAGTTGAGGAGAAATTCAAAGAAATGTGTGAAGTCACTAACCCACAAATGGCCAGCGTGGTTGACTATGACCTAATCATCAACTTAGGGTAGGCTCTGAGCCCCACAATGGAGTGTATAGTGAGCTGATGATGATGAACAAGTTTACTAATTAGATATGTAACTCTTTTTGGCTGTGTTCTTGATCAATCAATGGTATTTTATAAGATCAGTTTACTGCATAATTTAAATTCGACGCGTTGTTATTTTCCGGATTCAGGTTTAATTGGATACCGGAGAATACAAATTGTTTGTGTTTGTTTGATTTTTGTTGTATTAAGATACAAGATGGTGAAAACCTATTGAATTGTTGCTTACGTTGTTGGCTATAATTTCTATATTTTTAATTTAAACATTGCTATATTGTTAATAATATCTTTGGAAGTGATACAAATATTGAAATGTTTAAATATCGTACGTAATAATGTCTCTCTTAATGCGTTACATAAAATTAAGTTTGGTGATCCATTATTCTTTGGAAGATTGGCAGCGACTTTTCCTTAAAGACAGAATTCAATTAAGAGAAGAAAAAATGTACCGTGAGTCGCTAATTACATTTCTCAGGTAGTTTTGTTTTGGATCCGAACGCTTTTATACCTTTTAACTAAATCAAAAAGGATACAAGAGAAGGGATTTTATCATATACAGTTGTTGCAGCATTAGAAATAAAATTCAATAAATTATGTCAAATTCAGAATTTGTTATTTGATGAGACAGAGCGCGATTGGGAAACTCGTCTGGAATCTCGGCCTTAACAATTTTCCACTCGGAATATTTCGAGCGATTTAATATCTGATTAAACGTACATCCATATTCCATGAAAGTTGACTTTTGATATTTCAGATCCCTTCTAATTTTCGAATGTTCGAAATTAAATGTTCAAATATGTACACTTGAGAAGGCTAAATTATTAATTTGATTCGGCAATTTAAGATTGTAAATAGTAGTCAATTAACTAAAGTCAAAATTAACCATTTTGGCATTTATTGCCCTTTGTAATTGAAATGTAAAACAGATAAATTGGCACTTCTTTAGTTCTAACAGAATAGATAAAGTTCTATGAAGTTGATTAACCGCACTAACCGAGGGCACAAGGTCCTAAACGTGATAAGAGTAACGAGATGAGAAAATTGTCTCAAATACATTCTTGGGAAGTAGTTTTGTCGCAATATCGTGTGAAACTGAAAGTATGTTTCTTACTCTTGATAAAAACTATGCAAACGTAGAATTAATTTAATATTTAATCTCTGACTACATTAAGACATAAAAACCTTGCTAATTTGTTTATATTATTTAAAATATCTGTATTATGGAAGTTATTTTGTAAATGTATTTCGGTATTTCATAAATATTCAAATGTCTAGCTTGATATTGAGGAAGGAATCGATTAATTAGGATATTAATCAAAATTTAACAATGACTTGGAGTTAGCATGCGAATTATTTGGTGCATGAACAATATTATCAAATAAAATTACATTTTTATGTTAAAAATTATATTGAATTCAATTTGCGAGTAGCTTCATAGCGTTATACAGTAACAAAAATTCACAAAACTTGATTTATAAAAATCGCTGAATTGCTCCCGCGAGATGCTTACCTTGCAATTTTCTCAGAACACCTCAGATTACTATCGCAAGGATATTATCATGCAGATCAGGATTCTGTGCGCAACCACATACGTTGTAACAAAATTGTAATCTTCAAGTTTGAATCTTTTGAAGCACGTGTGGAAGATTTGATGTCATAAAACTTTACATAGAAATATAATAAGTGAAGGGCACTTCTAGACTTGACTTGTTGACTTCATACATATCTTTGAATTTCTTCTCAGATATATGCAGGTTGCATCACGATGTTTTCCTTCACCGTAAGGACGTTGGATAAATGTACATATGTAAATCGGAAATCGAAAAACACATTGGTACATGGCAGGATTCGAACCCAGGACCTACTTGCAAGTCAAGTGCTTGACCCCTGAGCCACCGACGCTCAATTATTGCCTTAATCAAAATATTTATATCTTACACGTTGGTTTCAGTCAAGTCACGATCTTAGTTGGACATATTCCCTAACGTATTGGAAGACATACATATACTGTTAGATGAGTGCTATCCTTTATCACTCCAACCTTTTACGTCCATCATTTATTTTAGAATCGGACTATTTCAGTTCCCTGGAGCGATTCAATACCTAAAATGATTGAATTAATTTCTAAACACAATGCGTTCCCGAGCCATTCAGTCTCACCTTTCAGTTATTGTTGGCTCAAGAACTATTGTTACTTGAGATTGATGATGTCGGCCTTCTCGTAGTACACCTTAATAATTCACATGAAACAATAATTCAAATTACATCATTAAATAGATACAATGTACAACAGTTAATTGAAAATATATAGTAACAATTTGAAGCGACAATTTCAAGAATAACATAATCAAGTTAATTCAGAAATAACCAAAGACAATGCTTTGAATAATTTGCAATTATTATGACTCTCTTAAAACTTAAAGTAATATTTCATCTTTTATATTATTGTGAAAAAAAATGTTTTTGTGAACGTTATGTCGACACAGTGGCTGTGCTGTCCCTGGGGTGTCGTGAACTTCGATTACGGAAAAATGTAAGATAAATCTTTGCGCTGTCGATAAAAAGATTATCCGTTTCCTTTATCTATTACTTTTAAACGTTATCAATTCATAGAATCAAATGTCTCCACGTTTCTAATTCTTTCTTGCTTTCTTTTGTTTTATGAAATGCCAGATACTACGTGCATTTGTTCTATTTATATTTTATAAACATATATTGTCCTCAAATGTAATTAAAGGTTGGGAAATTTAAAAAAAATATGGTAAAATAAATAAATTGATTACTTTATATGAATATATCAGTAATTTAATAGGATTATGTTTACAAGTAGGACAATTTATAATTAAGTTACATTGTTAAATTAAACATTACTTCGCTCTCCTCCCACGGGAAGAACAATACAATATTGAAATGTTATTACTTTGTTATTTATCCCTTAACTCTTCACTTTGGAAGATACAGTAGATTTAATAAAAAAGTTTTCCGTTACATGATTTATGAAATAACTTTACGAGACGCGGCGAAACTTATTCGCGATACTTAAAAAAATCTTTCATGGTTTCATATAAAAAGCGTGTTTCGATCGGAATCAAAGTTTCTGAAACTTTCATTGTAATCTTTGGTATTTTAACATTGACTTTCTTATTTTATAAAAGTTAATAATGTTCAATCTTACTCTTACTTTTACTAATATTATAAATGCGATTGTTTAAATGTAAGATAATTGGATGTTTGTCAAAGGATAACCCCAGAAAGGTATGAACGCGCATGGACCTCGCTGAAATTTAGCATAGATGTAGAACATAATCGGAAAGAACACATAGGCTAGTAACAATGTTTTGTTTTTATACTATGAGGGCGGATCCTCTGGCGACAGTTAGTATTTTTATAAGAAAATAACCTTAAGAATAAATATAACATGAAAATGTTTTTAGTTATAATACTTATATACGTTACAATGATAGTAAGTCTTGTCTGCCTTCACAGTGATTGAGTTTACATTCAACTAATCTCCAGACTGTCTTTAGACAGTTTGAACTTTCACAGCTTATCTGACGTCTCCACGCTTAATAGTTATAATTAACTTTATCAAAGTCTAGATATAAATTATTTATACAAAGACCTAGGTAAGTTCAGTATGGTCTTTCTTTTTTAATAGAAACACGTTATCAAAAGCGACATGATTGTGCATGAAATCACCACTAATATTCAGAATAAAAGAGATATTAGCTGTAAGTGCCTAAAAGAATAGTATGCAAAAAATTGCAGATAATTTGATTTAGTTTTTGAAAAGTTGTTCTTAAAGTAAAAATCCATTTTTGTAATTACCCGATCTCTGTAAATGAGAATAAGTGAAAGTTATGTTAGTAAACTTAACAATTGCTATTGTTTTGTCAATAATTAATATTTTGGAATTGTAAAATTTTTTTTTTTTTCCGGTTCCGGTATTCAAAACGTAAACATCGTTGTAACACAATCTTAAAACTAATTTTAATTAAAAATCACTAACGGACTGTTGGACACGGTAAATAACGTAAAAACACAACTAAAAGTGCTGTGGATCAGTGGAATTAGTGACTATAGTGTAATAAACGCAAAAACAAGACAAATTACAAGTAAATAATACCCAAAAATAACTAGTTTGAGGTTAAAGTCATATTCGAAACGTCAAAGTTGCACACTATCAGTTGCTGACAGTGTCACTCATCGCATCAGTGCTGCCAACGCGAAAATATCGGTGCGCCGCCTCGTTCCATTTTACACAAATAAATTAAAAAACTAAGTATGGAAGATCAATTTCAAATTTTGTTTGACAAAATGAAAGCTGAAATGCAGAAACAGACGGTGGAATTGAAAGAGTCTATAACCAATTCAATCATGGAAAAAATTGAGGAAAAAATAAAGCCTATTATAGCAGAAAACAAAGACTTGAAGACAAAATTAATAAACCTTGAGAAAGAGATGGAGTATTTGAAAAGAGATAAGAAGCAAAATAACATCGTCATTTTTAGATTAAAAGAGGAAGATGAATCTACAGCAGAACTAATACAAAAAGTAAAGAAGATAATTAATGAAGACTTAAATATTAACATGGAGGACTTTGAGATAAACAACGTTTATCGCATAGGAAAGAAAAACACAGAGGGAAAGCCGAGACCTGTTTTGCTTTCCTTTGTCAATTTATGGAAGAAGAACGAAGTAATGAAAGCACGAAAAAACCTTAAAGATACTTACATCACAGAAGATTATCCTAAAGCAGTTCTGGAGAAGAGAAAAATGTTACAAAATAAATTAAAAGAAGAAAGAATGAAAGGAAATTTCGCATATATTAAATACGACAAGCTTGTAGTAAAGGAAAATAATATAAGTAATGATAAAAGAAAAAGAGAAATATCTTCATCGCCACGAGACAATGCACAAGCAAAAAAGCAACAAGTCTGGACGCCATCGCAAAATAATAGACGCAACGCTTTTGACGTTATGAGAGGCAGGTCCAGCTCTCTCTCTTCTTTTACGTCAGATAATAGGCAATAACAATTAGCTATCGGCAACCGGAAAACACAACAACATAAAAATATAGAAAAGCAAATGACTAGAAACGAACAACCTCCCCCAAGCCGACTGGTCCTCGTGGGGGAAAATGACCATGACCCTCTAAAGATAAAAAACTATAGAAAAAAGAAACATAACGATATACATATAGCAACTTTAAACTGTCGATCACTAGGAACGTCTGAAAAACTACAAGAATTGGAACTAGCATTAAATGATATAAAATGGGATATAATTGGAATAAGTGAAGTAAGAAGATTAGGGGAAAGAATAGAAGACCACGGAACATACATACTGCATCATATTGGGGAGACGCCCGGATTATACGGAGTCGGATTTATGGTTGAAAGAAACCTTACTAAATACATACTAGAACTAAGAGGTATTTCAGAACGGATCGCACTTCTCAACATTAAATTACCTGTATATGGAGAGAAAGAACAAGTATGGACTATAATCCAGGCTTATTCGCCCACCGAATCAAATAGAAAAGAAGACATAGCAAAAATAGAAAAATTCTACGAGGACCTGCAATTCGCCACTGCAAATGCATCAAAAAACATGATAATTATGGGTGACTTTAATGGCCAGATTGGCAAACAAAGAAATGGAGAAGAAAATATTATAGGAAAACATGGACTTGGCAATAGAAGTAAAAACGGCTCACGACTTGTATCCTTTGCTAACGAAAATAAATTAAGCATCCTGAACAGTTTTTTCAAAAAGAAACCAAAAAAGAAATGGACATGGATTTCCCCTAGTGGGCGATATAAGAATGAGATCGACTACATTATGTCTAACAATAGAAAAGTTTTCAAAGATTTGACTGTTTTAAGTAATTTTAATTTTAATTCAGATCATAGAATGGTGAGAGCAAAACTATCAGGGACACGTGCCAAAAGGGCACGACAATTTCAAAACAACATAAAAGTCATCGAATGCACCGGTAACAATGTTCTACTGCTGAACAACCTTGAAATATCCTTGCAAAATTGGGAAACGGAATGTTTAACGACTCAAGAGAAATATAACAGATTACTCAAACAATTAAAAACAGAAACTAAAAATGTAAACACGACTAGTAGGACAGCAACATCATCCAAAAGTAAGCAATTATTACAAGAACGAAAAGAACTTATAAAACAAGGAAAAAATATTAATGGTCAAAAGATAGCAGAAATAAGTAAAAAAATTAGTGAACAACTAAGAAAAGAACGGAAAATGAAAAGATTAACAACATTTAGAAAACACATAGAAAAAACAGGAGGAATTAAGAAGGCAATAAAAGAACTGAATTACAAGAAGGACTGGATTCCAAATATGAAAAATAAAGATTGTGGAAAAACCAGCAAAAGACAAGAAATACTGGGAATTGCTACAGAATATTACCAAAATTTATACCAAAGTCGTAAAGGAGAACAAGTAATAAAGGAATATAATTCAATAAATGAAGAGGAAATCAAACCAATACTAAAGGAAGAAACAATAAAAGCCATCGAAACACAAAAACTAGGTAAGGCACCGGGACCAGATTTGATAACAAATGAATTACTAAAAACAACGTTACCTGTAATAGCACCAAGACTTACAGATTTGTTCAATGAAATACTCAAAACGGAAACTATCCCGGAAGACTGGACTAAATCGACAATTACACTGATACACAAAAAGGGAGACAAAGGCAATATAGGAAATTATAGACCAATTAGTTTAATGTCTAATATTTATAAAATCTTTTCAAAAATCATACTGAACAGAATTACCAATACACTAGATGAAAATCAACCGAAGGAACAAGCTGGTTTTCGCAGCAAATTCTCAACTATTGATCACATACACACACTAAGACAAATTCTACAGAAATATAAAGAATATAATAAAACGTATTACATTGGGTTTGTTGACTTCAATAAAGCGTTTGATACTTTAGAACATGAGTATATATGGGACGCTCTAAAAAGGCAAGGGGTGCAGGCAAAATATATACGAATAATTAAAAAAGTATACACAGCAAGTACAGCACAAGTTAAACTTGATGTTACAGGCAACGAATTTCCTATTAAAAGAGGGGTACGCCAAGGAGATCCAATATCACCTAAATTATTTTCAGCAGTTCTGGAGATGATATTCAAGAATCTAAACTGGACCGAATATGGCCTAAATATAAATGGCGAATATCTCAACCATTTACGTTTCGCGGACGATTTGACTCTGTTCTCGGAAGATGCAGGAACTATAGAAGTAATGCTGCAGCAACTATCCGATGAAAGTGTCAAGGCTGGCCTGACAATGAACCTAACTAAAACCAAAATCATGACAAACTCCCGACAAACAACAAACAATAGACAAATAACAATAAATAACGAACAAATAGAATTTGTAAATGAATATATATATATTTGGGCCAACTTATATCTTCAAATGATTGCATGAGTAAAGAAATAGAGCGAAGAATAACAAATACATGGAAACGGTTTTGGTCTCTTAAGGAAATAATGAAGGATAAAGATATGCCAATAAAAGGAAAAAAGAAAGTATACGAAATGTGTATTATGCCATGTCTACTATACGCATGCCAGACATGGGCATTAACAGAAGTGCAAGAAACTAAATTAAAAGTTTGTCAAAATGCAATAGAAAGGAGTATTTTAGGTCTAAAAAGAAGAGATAGAGTGAAATTACAAGAAATAAAAAAGATAACAAAGTTTAAAAATGCACACACAGTGTACAGACAGCTAAAATGGCGTTGGACGGGACACATGCTAAGAGGAAACAAAGAGAAATGGAATAAGCTAGTAACAGATTGGTATCCAAGAGATAGCAAAAGAAATAGAGGTAGACAAAACAAAAGATGGGAAGATGATTTTAAGAAAATAGCTGGACCGTTATGGATCCGCTTAGCAAGAGATAGGAATAGTTGGAAATCTTTAGAGGAGGCCTTTGTCAATTGACAAGCTTTTCAATACAAACAAGTTGCCGATCATTTAAATACTAGTAGAATTGTTTAAATTAATTTAGTTTTTTTTTTAGTTAATAGGCATGTATAACTATCATAAATTGTAAAAATTGTAAAGCAATAAAGGCTATTTTATTTTATTTTTATTTTATTTTATTATTTTATTTATTATTATAAAAAGCATAAAATAAGTAATACATGTGCTACGCATATGCATATGTGAAATTCCGTATAAAATCTTAAATTTTTTAAGCAATAAATTCGATCTGACATTATTGAACGTCGAACGATCGATTTGACATTTTCTATTCGATATTTTTATTATTTATGTTTATATATACGACAAGGAAGTCAGACCCAATGGGCATAAATCAGATTAAATTATAACACACTAGCGCCCCTCTGACAGCGACAAAAGTGTCATATTCTGACAGAACTAACTCAGATATTCTCGTTTGACTACACATGTTTCGTCAGTGGAAACTGTGATTTAATTGACATTTTCCCCACAGATCTACATCTGGCAACTGAAAGATAACGATTTAGTGGGCGTGGCGTTCATAGACACGCAGATCTATGTGCACCGCCTCCTCGCTGTCAAGAATCTCATCCTGGTGGCAGATGTCTACAAGTCGGTGTCACTGCTGCGCTACCAGGACAAGCATCGCA